TACCTCATCCCATTGCCTCCACCTCCTCCATTCTTCCCTCGTTTGGCCATACTCCATCATCCTCTCCTCTTCTCCCTCATTCTCTCCTCCTCTCGCTCATTCTCTCCTCCTCTCCCTCACTCTTTCCTCCTCTCCCTCATTCTCTCCTCCTCTCCCTCATTCTCTCCTCGTCTCCCTCATTCTCTCCTCCTCTCCCTCATTCTCTCCTCCTCTCCCTCATTCTCTCCTCCTCTCCCTCATTCTCTCCTCCTCTCCCGCATTCTCTCCTCCTCTCCCTCATTCTCTCCTCCTCCTCTCCTCCTTCTGTCTGCTCTCTTTCCCGAGCCAGAGAAGAAGGCAACAAGGGCTCACCTGCTCCTGCAAGGGGGAAGGAGAAGGAGGCGACAGGCGTCGCCTGCCATATCAGCAGAGCGACCTGGAGGTAAACGACCTGCTGGATCATTGGAGTAGACCTGCTGGAGAGAACTCATGGAGATGTAGCAATCATATGGATGAATGGTCATAATTGATCTCAATGAATCGTTCGGCATCAAAGAACATACAATTTCCGACTTGCCACCTAGTTCTATTGCTTGATGAAAGCTATGTTTGCACTGATCCCAAATCTACTCATCGAGCAACTCTTCACCTCCTTCTTCTCCTCTCTCTCGTGTCTTGTGCACGTGTTACCTGAATTCTATGTCCATTACACTGCATGCTCTCTAAGTTCCTTTCTCCGCTGCTAATCGTCACATTTTCCAACTCGCCCTTGATACATCCCTTTCCTTCAATCACATTGGCGGGTTCACGAAGATCGCATTGCAAGGTCTCATCATCCGAACCATCTCATCTAATCTTTCATCTAATCAACTGATGGTCCTTCTTACTCACTTCCCTCATCTTCTCGAGTGTATTCCTCTCGTGCATCCCATACGCTTTCTTCATTGCGCTACTTGCTCCTTCCCTTCCCTTCCTCTCACTCCCTCCTCGTCATGCCCTTCCACACAAGTCTCCTCCTCTCATGATTGCATGAATGTCCCTGCCATCCTCGTTCCCGCTATCGCCCTCACCCCCCTTTCACGTTCGCCATCCTCGTCCGCACGTTTGCATGGCGGCCGCCGCCAATGCTACTACTGTTGAACCCCTTCCCTGCATGGGGTTCCAAAAGTTTCAAGCAATATTTTCAAATAATGTTCCTGATAATTTCAAAATCAGATAAGAATATTGACGTGTTTCTCAAAATTAAACTGCAAAAAAGGATTGCGCGTTGACCCCGTCAGGGTCAATGCGTCCCCTCATCCCCCAACAAAGGTGTCGTAGGTTCAGAAGGTTATTGAGTCGCACGGCGGCCGCCGCTGAGCGGGCCCGGCCCGCCGCAGTGCACCCCGGGCCCGGCACGTAACCGGACTGAGGACGGGGGCAACCTGAGTAAATCCGACTCCCGAGCCCCGGGCGGTCACCCGGCGGCCGCGGGGAGCCTCGGAGGCTGCGGCAATCAGGCCGCGAGTGTCCAACCGTGCGGCAGTGTGGGCCTCCGGGACCGTCCCGAGTCACGGCGACGGACCGTATCGGCCCACGGACGGTCACGGGTGGCCCCGGCGGGCGCCCCCCCGGCCCGCCGCACCGCACCGTCCGACGGTCGGCCCGGGCCCGAGATCGGACGCCGCCGGGGCCCGGCTCGCGCCGCTGAGTGGGCTCAGGCCGCAGGCTCAGCGGCCGGCCGCTGGTCCGATTCGCCGGACCCGGCGCCGGCCACCCCGGTGGCTCACTGAGTCAGCAGCGGCGGCCGCTGAGCGGCGAGTACCCTGGCACTGAGAATGATAGTACTAGGCTCAGGCCGCGCTTTCAAGCTTGGCTCAGAGATCATCCGAATCAGGCATCATCGCCGCTCGGCGGATTTATTTCGAGATGGCAGTAGAACGAAGTCACGGTGGACTTAAACTAACGGTACCGCACCGTGACGCCGGGCCCTCAGGGCCTTGAAACTTGGGCCCGGCGGAGCCGCAGCCTGTGCCAAGCGGCCCGGCAGCAACCAGTGTGACATGATTAAGTCACACCAGATTACCAGGTCTCTGATCTTGATAGTCCAGGCCCGGGACTTGGACTACTTCTCCATGACAAATAGCCACTAAGACTGCAGGCGGCCTTTCTGCCCCGCCATGCCTCGATCTCCTCAAGAAGCTCCGCCGCCCTCGGTCTGTCCTCTGCCATCCCCGCCCATGATCGCCCCATCATCTCTTGTAGCTCCCTCGGCATCATTCGCTCGCTCAAAACCGAAGGACGGAAGTCGTACTTTGCTGCCATGCTGGCCACCGAGTGTCCGTCGATGTTGCAGAAGGGATGCTCCCCGGCGAAGATGTACCACATCACCAGCGAGAAAGAGTACACGTCCACCGCCGCCGTGTACTGACCCTCTCCCCGGAAGATCTCCGGCGCCATGTACCGGTACGTCCCCGTTGTCGCAGTAAGGTCAAGGCTAATTTCTATCCCACCAGCGTCTCCTTGTGGACTTCCGCCTGGTCTCGGAGGTGACGAATTTCCTGATGCTGCAGCTGCATGAGGACACCTTCTGCTGAGCCCGAAGTCCCCGATCTTCACCGTCCTCCCGTCCCCCGTCAGCAGCATGTTGGCCGGCTTGATGTCTCGGTGGATCACCGGCGGCTTCTGCGCGTGCAGGTACGCCAGCGCGCTCAGGATGTCCTCCACCCACGACACTGCCCTCCTCGTCTTGGGCCGCCAGCGCCCGTCCCGTCGCGACTTCTTCTTGGCCTCGTAGTACTGCTCCAGGCTCCCCCCGGCATCAGCTCCATCACCAGCCACGGCAGCCCGTCGTGCTCGTAGATGCCGTAGAACTCCACCACGTTCTTGTGCCGGAACGCATAGCTCATCATGCTGATCTCCTTGAGCAGATCCTTGCCCTCCTCGGACCGGGCGTCGAGCTTCGAGCACAGGGTCTTGACGGCGACCTCGTTTCCATTGTAGAGGGCGCTCCTGACCTCGCCAGATGATCCCTCGCCAAGGAGGTCGCCGAGGGTGAGGGAGGATCGACGGATGGCAAACGTTTGACATCTTTTGATCTCGACGGCGTGTAGCATATCATGGTGGGAAGCAAGCTGGAGGAAAACAGGGCAATCCTCGTCAAGGGATGGGCAGCGGAGAAATCCTGCGGAGCATTCTGCCGAAGACTCATCAGGGAGGCTGTCAGTGTTGGAGGGAGCAGGAGAGCTCTGGGATTGTGCGGATGAGAGCATCATGATCGCTATCTTGTAACATGATCGAGGATGCTCATACACGCCATGGCGCTGCTGTCAGTGAAGGTAGGTGGGCCCCACGACTCCCCTGCGACCGTCCAATTACGCCGCAGCAAGCGGAGGGGGGAAAGAAAGAAATAGTTTTAAACGTTGGTGGAAGTACGCATAGGGTTGAGGTTTTGCATCGCTTTGTGTATAAGTAAAGTACCCAACGTACCGTCGGATTTTGTGTGTACCGGGAGTACTACCGCTGGCTGGCAGTGGTACAAACAAATAACTTAATCGCCTCACGCGCACACCTCTAAAAGTTGATAGACAGTACCAAGAAGTTGACTATAATAATAACTGAGCGGAGCCCAACAGTCAGATTGATCGACTTATTATTAACTTTGAGTAACTCAAAGCTAGTAAAGAAGTACCGGAGCCCTTTGAGTAATGTTTCTGGTATGATGACAATAAGGAGAGTCGAGGAGGCTTGACAGTACGGTACTTCGGAGCTCGGGCCCGTCGGGCCCGGGCCAGTGACTGAGGCTTCAGTGACTACAGATATTTTTACTTATTTGGCGAGGAGAGGATTGGGGGCCTGGGCTTGTGACCACGGATGAGAGCCGATAGGGTGGGGTACTGTCGAATGGTGGGTAGTCCCTCGGTAATTTCCTATCTTTACCCCTATTGGCCCCCCCTTCAGCTAATGGGATGAATGGGTGGGTGGGCAGGTGGGTGGGTGGGTGGGTGTTGTGAAGTAAGGGGTGCGCCGTTCTTGGGTTGTTTCCTCTACAAAAGATCTAGTACCATGTATTTTTTGAGTAATATTAAAGTACCACAATTTGCGAGTCAACCTGGGGTAAGGAGTGCTGGTTCATGTGCGAGTCGACCCCAAAGATTTTACAGGGTGGTGGGTGGTGGGTGGACCTCTACTTGGAGGGTGGTGGTACAAGAGGTAGGTGGTGCCCAGAATACTGTAACATGTACCGGTGTTTTTACAGAATTGTGGAGGGGTATTTCATCACAACATAGGGTGACCCACCCCCGTATTGCCATTTGAAGGACCCACCCAGTGGTACCTTCCACCCCCGCCCCCTCTGGGCTTTCTTTCCATGGCAATACTGTGGCCGCAGGGGAGGAGCAACGATACAGGAGGCGAGGAGAGGCGGGCGCATGCTATGGGAGGGATACAGCAGCAGGAGGCAACATGCAGAACAGATGCTGCATCAGGCGATAGTGGAGACGGAGAGTTGATGGGCAGTGGAGATACTGTGCATGGTTGGGAGGGGAGTCAAGGAGAAACGAGGGAAGGGTTGTAAGTGGGTGAGGGAGCTTTAGGATGGGCAGCAAGCTGCAGTTGCAATGTAAGATGATGAAATTGATACATGGAGTCAGTGGCAACTTATATTGCACACGCCTCGTCCGCGTGGAACATATTAATCAACCCCTGTCAACTTGGACCCAAGTTGTTGTAGGAATGAAAGTACCATCTTGCGGGAAAGGAGTCATGAGTGGAGCAGTTCTAGAATAGGGTAGAGAGACAAACTGCACTCGATAGACCAAGATTGGATACAGGGCATCTGCTTCATATTTCAGCATGCTTTCAACTTGTTCTTGGTTCTCGTAGCTCTGTTCGATTCGTACCCTTTGCCTGTATTAACAATGGGATGAACTGTGTTCTTTTCATACCAAGAATGCGATAAGATTGATTTTGTTATTTTGAGAGAGATGCGCGCTTGCTAGCTTCATCTGGCGCCCTGTGGACGCCAGCAATCCCCTTCTGACTGTGCAATCCAGGACAGTGGGATGGATCGGAACGGGAGCTTGTAAGGGTTTGACGGCAGAATTGTTGGAGGACCTTGAGCGTTGCTGAGAAATGACAGAGATGAGTGCAAAGCATCCAGAGGTTGGTGACTTGAGACTTGTGTTCTTTTGGTGTTTCTGGTGACAGTTGTATCAGAAACCAGCATCCATTTCTATCTTCGAACCGAACCACCTCATGGTGAGTCGATGCTTGTACTTGCTTGTTGATGTGATTATTTGCTCCTCCCTTGATCGGGCAGAGGAGCGTTGAAGGAAAGTATCCGTCGTTCCTGCCTCATGCTCCTCTGACACCGGGATTCGGCTCATTGCGGAGGAACGGGGAGGTGTGATATACTTCCCGTGAGCACGGCAAACTGAAAGTTGTTGAAAGGTGAAGGACTTTGACGAAGGGCTGCCCTACGATGAGACGAAGAAAGCCGATTCTTTCAAGAACAAGTTCGTGCTGTTGTAGCCCTTGCAACTCATCGCTCATGGGCACAACAGGCGGCCTCGTCGGGGAACTTTGCTGGAGCTATGGGCGAATATTCACACAGTGCTGTTCAACAAGAAGCTTGCTCCTCATGAGGTAAAATCGAGATGATTGTTATCTTCTGCGTGTTTTGTTCTTGCACAGTCTGTAACAAACTGTGTCAAGGCGATCAAGAAGGCTTCGGAACTGCAGCTTCCTATGCTCTCTCCGCTGCGCGAGTCGTCTCCCGTGGTGTTCC